AAAAAAAAAAAAAAAAAAAAAAAAAAAAAAAATTAGTAGTTAGGTTCAATGATGTTGACTTCACAGTGAAATTTGATTCAGTCGCCATCCAGTTCGGTTTGTGACCAGAATCACGGAAAGATTTAAGGTCATGAATTGAGATACCACTGTATTACCCTTTGCCTTTGCAACTTTTGAAGTTTGGGTCATGTGAATAGATTTTTAAAAGAATTTATTATGGTACAGTTATTAAAAGGAGAAATTTTGGAGGTATTTAACTTGCAATTCAAAAACTGTCTTGTAATGAGAACAGTCCTATTTTCTCTAGATTTTAAATTTGGATTTCTTTACATCTAGATTTCGTATGTAAGACCTGTTTTAACTACATGACAGGGCTTAGAAGGAATCCATGCAATAAAAGGTGGCTTTCATAGAAAGGAAGCTTAAAATAAAGCAAATCTAAGGTCTTTTCTTTTCTTACTTGAGAGCGGCCTGGGATGTTGGACCTCAAGGGCAAAGCCAAGTGGGATGCCTGGAATCAGCTGAAAGGTAATTGTCCCAGTCAGTCCCCTCCTTTGCAAAGCCCAGTGGTGAAAGACTCTTCATCATGGAGTGGAGGGGTTGAGGGGAGGAAACTTCAGAGGCACATGCTGGAAACCAGCCTGGCTTGTGCCAGAGTGGGAGAAAACTGGGCCACCTACTTTCTTAAAGCACATCTCTGAGCAGAGGCATCATTTGGAGAGGAGAGGCTGCAGGGCCAGGCCACTGAGAAACATGTCAGGAGGCAATGTTGGCACGAGCCTTGGACATGTTCAGAATAAGGGCTGGTTCCCTGTCCACACCTGCCTCTCCCCCACAAGACCAGGCAGTGACCCCGTAGCTGGAGTGGCCCTCCCCAGTTCTCATCCAGCCAGAAGGGCACATGAAAGAAGGGAATGAGGTAATGTGTGGCCAGCCGCTTGTAGGCTCTGTGAATGGAGCTATTATTTGTTGAATACCAACAGCCAAGGAATATCCAAGCTCCTAGTAAATCACGTGCCTCCAAGGCAGCAAGACTCAGAAGTTGGCACCAAAGCTTCTGGCAGCTTTTGTGTCCTCACTAGCTAGATGCTGAATAAGCTCTCTGTCTCTTGCAAATGAGAAACCCATGAATTCAGAAAGGGCACAATACAGTAAATACTATAAAATCCTAGGATTTGCAGCAGGGGAATGCCTGTCTGATTATCCCTTTTCACTGAGCACTTCCACACCATTCTCAGGCCCTGAGTGTTTTAGAATCAGCCCCAGAGGGCCACTCTTCACTGGAGAAACCAGGAAACAGGGTGTAACTGACCCTGAGGATTTCTTCGGTGTCCTTTGTGCTGCAGCAAGGAGACAAAGATTGGTCTCATTCCTCTCCAATAAACAGCTGCTTTTGCTCAGAGCCTAGAACCTCTCCTTATAGCTTCTCTCTGGGGAGAAGAAAGTGGCTGGTTGCTTTTCCTTTTTCACTGCCAGCTTAGCAGCTCTGGGAGATAAAAGCACAACACAGAAATACACAGTAAGCCAAAGCCAACCATGAAATTAGCAGGACCAACAAGTTACCCCAGCAGCATTTGCCTGGCTATCTAGAAGACCAAGGCTCAATCTGATGGCTTCCACACACACACAGGATTGGCCCTGGGCCAGGCCCACCATGTGTGATGTGCTCTATGGAGTGAAGGGTTCCTTGGGTCCTTCAAGTCTAGGCCTCAGCATGTCTCCAAGATGTAGATATACTCCCACTTTCCAGCAAAGAAACTAAGTCTTGGAAAGTTAAAGTGAGGCTGACCAAAACCCTAGAGCCAACTACTTTCCTACTATGATGCTACCATAATCTTGTTGATTCCTTCCAGGGACTTCCAAGGAAAGTGCCATGAAAGCTTACATCGACAAAGTGGAAGAGCTAAAGAACAAATATGGAATGTAACAAACTGGATTTGGTCGCCAGCCACACATTTAACCTAAAACGATATAATGCCTTGTTTTTTCTAATACTGTGGGTGATGTGAAAGTAGTCAGTTACTGTAGTTCCTCAGTGTGTTCCAGGATGTGGCTCTAACAGATTAGGAGCAGGAATGGTCACTGACCTCTCCCTTCCCCCAGTAGTTTTTATCTAAAATAAATTCAAATATATTTGTTACTTGAATTCTTTGTTCATCTAGTTTCTTAAAGTAATTCACCTACCCTGTTCCTATCTCCAGCCCCCACTTCCTTCTGCTAAAGATGTCCTCTGGAAGGGCTTTGGCCTGCCTTCCTCACCACACTGCCAGGATGTGAGGCAGGTGGTGCCACCTGTTTCCATGCCCCTACATGTTCTCAACCTCCATAAAGAAAAATGTTTTGGAAATGGCTTTTCCTCCTTTCCAATTCTAGCCACACCAAGGAAGATCAGGTAGGCCAGCTTACACTTCAGTCTGCTTGTATTTCCAGTCTGTCAAGGGTGTGGCTGGCCTTGGGTTCTGATGGAGGTGAGATTGACAGATGTTTGAGGTTCATCTGAAGTCTAACCAGTGCACTGATCCAGAGAATATCATTAAGAGTAGGAACTCTTGTCAGAAATAGAACGCACATCTGGCAAGAGGTATTGCCAGGATTCCTGTGGAAACTTGTTCACAGGCTGTAGCATGGGGGCAACCATCAGTGAACCCAGGAATTCTCCAGTGGGCATGAGGGGGAACAGGACGTCATAAGGCTGCAGAGAAGAAAGGTGGGAGTTTGACCGGAGGACTTCATTTGTTAAAGGACAAAGGAATAGGGCTAGAGATGCGGCTCAGTGGTAGAGTGCTTGCCTTGCATGTTGCAAGGCTCTGGGTTCCAGCCCCAGCACCACACCCCAAAGATCAGGGCCAGGATATGATCCCAGCACTCAGAGGCTAGCCTGGATAATTTTGCAAGATTCTGTGTCAAAGGGTGAAAGAAGAAAAATAAATTAACAAATGTTCCTGGCCAGAAATGTCCCTTGTAGCACTTCTCCAGTCCCACAATGGGTAGTTTGTCTGTTCTGCCAGAGAAGATGCTGAGACTCAAAGGAATTTAGGAGACGCTGTCTCAGGTTGGGCAGCTTGAAGTTTCTTTCTGCCAAAACACATTCCCTGGTCTTAGACAGTTCAACCTTGCACCTAGAAGAACAGTAATGCCTGAAAATAACTTGCCCAAGATCATCCCACTAATACATAAGCTGAGAACTGACTTTCAAATGCAGGATGGATCTGAAGCCTGAAGCTCAAGAGATGGGAACACCAGGGAGCTAGTGTGGCCAGAGTATGGAATACCCTTGATAAAACAGCACTGAGAGTGGAGAGGCTTAGCATCTGATCTTAGTCAATAGGGAACAGCATGTGATAGGCATGTAAAAGGCAATCTGAGTAAGTAAACAGCAGTTGCAAATAGTCATACCTTAAGTTCTAGCCCCTTAGCTCAGATGTAAACAAGGTCACTCCAGCAAAGCAAGGGAATCAAGGCCCAAAACCCACCCACGCAGCTCAGGGGCCGGGACTTACTGTGTAGCAGTGTCATTTACAATGAAGTTGGTTTTCCTAGGTGCCACTGATGCAGAGAACCTTCAGTCCTCTCCCCCGACCTGACTCCATTCTACCAATGGTGCCAAGATCACCAAATTCACAGGCACATCTGAGACCCAAGGGGGAAGCAGTAGAAAGCCATACCCTTTCTTATGTGTATCTGTATATGGGTCATTTCCTCTGTTTATTGGCTGCTTCACAATCAAAGAGGAACACAGTAGCATGTATCTGTAGTCCCAGCTACTTGGGAAGCTGGGATCACTTGAGTACAGCATTTTAAGACCCACCTGGGCAATAAAAGAGATCAAGGCCTCATCTTTTAAAAAATTTAAAGGGTTGGCATTATATCTCAGTGATAGAATACATGCTTAACGTGTACAAGGCCTAGGGTTCTGTCCCAGCACATCCCACCAAAAGAATAAAAAAAGACTAAAACAAATTTTAAAAAATCTTAAATGAAGCCCAAGATTTTGTTTCTGCCTAGATCTGACTCCTACCCACCCTGAAGGCAGTGGTGGGCAGTCAGACTGGGAGAGGCCCATGTCATGGCATATTCAGTGTCCAATGTTGGCACTTTATCAAGAATCATTTCCCCCACCAGCTTTCAAACCATGTCTGTTCCTGACAGTTGTCACTTGCAACAGTTATGTGAGTCAAGGACTTAGTCCACACACAAATTTCCATTCCATTAGTTAACACTGGAAAGTGTGGATAAGAACCACCAGCGCAAGTATTCTAATCTGCTTCTGGCTTGGGAGAGGCAGCTTGCCCAGCAGACTGGAGCCTGGGAACCATGTCTGCACCTTACTACTGGCCAGAATCAGCGAATAGGCTTATGAAGACAGACCAAGGTGGCACTCTGAAGTTACACTGTGCTGAGGCTGTATAATGGCTACTTGATATTGCTTCTCTTGCAGGATGGGAAAGAACCATTATATTGAAGTAAGAGTGCTTGGATTCAAGGCCTACTGGGGCCACCATGACTATCAATTACTAAGGACTTTCTGGAGCCAGACTCTGATGCAGGTTCTTTGCTTCTCCTGTTCTCCCCAGAGTCTTTTAGGTGGAGATTATACCTCATGACAGTAATCTCCCTTGTTCCTGGGGAAAATGTTCCAAGATGTTGCACAATGCCTAAAATTATGGACAATGCCAAATCATCTATGTCTCTACATCTGTCTATCTGTCCATCCCTTTCCATGGCTTAGATCTATGTTTAGAAAGTGACTGGTCTCGTCGCGCTATACCCATCAATGGATTTATCCATTTATGAGTTCAGTAGCTGAATGTGCTGTTAGGAGGTGGGGCCTAGAAGGGTATATTCTTGTCTCCAGCTCCTCCCTTCTCTCTGCTTCCTTGCTGCCATGGGCTGAGCACCTGTTCCTCCACCATGCCCCTCTGCCATCTTGTTTCTGCCTTGGGACCTGCCGACTGTGGATGGAAACTCCTGAAACTTTGCACTAAAATAAATCTCTCCTTATGTTGCAAGCATCAGTTATTTTGACCCAGTGACAAGAAAGTAAGACACCCCTATGTGTATATCTAATATAAAACTTCATAAATTATTGTAGTAAGAGATTAACAAAGCTAATAATAAAATATGCATTCTTTACAACTTATGAATTGTTTATTCCATGCAAATTCTTGGACCATGGTTGATTGTAGGGAAATGAAAGCAGACTGCAGATAGCGGAGGGACTACTCCCTGTGTAATTGGGTTTGCTGTGCACAATACTTAAATGAGGAAATAAAGGCTTGGGGGTTGTAGTGGATCCAGACTCAGAGCTCTCTGGACAGGAAGATCTTACGTGTCCCCTTCTGTCATGGTCCCTCTCATGATCTCCAGCCACCACATAGTTCTATATCTCTACTCTCTGTCAGGTGGTAAGAGTGACACGGTCTTGGGCTAATGTTAGCTGCTGATATGAAATCCTGTACTTGGAAGGATTGAGGAGTCTTGCGGCATGGCTTGCCAAAGAGGTCAAATCTCTACATTGGAGTGGGGCTATGACTTGTGCTTTTTAAGCACCTCAGGAGATTGATTCTAGGGCTTGGCCAGATTGGTGAGGTATCCCCCTTCTCACTAGAAGCAGCTGTACCTGTTCCTTGGAAAGCAGTGTCAGCCTGATGTCCTAAGAGTGAGTTAGCAGCAGCCTTAGGGGCTGTCCTATGGCTTCCACAGTGACCCATGTATAGCCCATCAGCTAGGACAAGGGCAGGGGGCTCCTTCATCCTCTGTGAGGGGCCCACAGCACCTCAGGTATGTTTTACTTCCAGTGTGGCTTTGTGACAGACTGGTAAATCCCACTCTCAGGTAATTAATCACTTCTCCAAGAGCCTTAGTTCCTCCATCTGGAAAATGGTAGAATCTGTACCTCACAGTGCCAAACAAACAGGTCAAGTGCTTAGCATAATGCTAAATAAACAACAACTTGCTAGATTCCTGGAGGTCTTCTGGGTTAGTTAGTTTTCTTTTGTTGCTGAGACAAAATACCTGGCACCAAAAGTTAAAAGGAAGGGAATTTGTTTGCTTACAGTTCATAGAAGTTTCAGTCCATAATTAGCTGGCTGCAAGGCAGAGATGGCAAACAGGCATCGCAGAGGAAGAACAAGTGGTGTGCAACAAGGCAGCTGAGGTAACAAGAGGGTTGAACATCTTTCCACCCCTTTTATTCAGACTACTGGGATTAGGGTGGTGCCAAACTAATCACTCACATGTAGTGGTTTAGTAATCATACACCCTTAATCCTAGCATCACACATTCCAGATTTAGCTACCTTTACAAAAGAAAGTTCCACCTCATCTGCATGAGGCTTTAGGGAGACATCTAAACTCAAACCATAACATCTTCTAGCACACGCTCACCCTGGTACATCCCTTCAGCCATCTGGACAAGTCCTGGGCCTGGACCATTCCTTGACAGTGCTCCAGTAGTTTGCGAATCAACCATGCCAGTAAATGCAGGTCATCCAAGAGTGTGCTCTCACTCCAGAGTAGTTCAAAGATCTAGAAGCCTAGAGGCCAGGAGGGAACAGAGGAGTGTCACTAGTTGTCAGGTGAGGAGCCTTTGGCTCAGCCACCGCCTAAGTTTCATAGGCAAGGACAAGTTTTGTTACCTCTATAAGTCTCAGTTTCTTCATCAGTAAAGTGGGGCTGAGCAGGTTAGTGTCCCATGAGAGCCAGAGGAAGGGAAAGGGAAGGCCCCAGGGTGGCTATCTTAACCAGAGCAAAGCTGGGAAGTTGTGAGGGGGTGGTATAAATAGGCAGATGATTGAAGGTGCTTAGAAATAAATTATAAGTATTTGGAGTTGAGGATAAGCCGAGACAAGTCAGTTATGCAGAGCTGTGCCTTTGGGGCCTGAGTCAGGGCCAAATGGTCCTGTGCTTTTGGCAGCACTGTAACAGAGAAAGTCAGGATGTCTCTTCCCTTGTTTCTGTGATTCCACTCCATGTCCTTTCTAATGGACTAGGAATAGCTATGAAGAAACTGAGACATAAGGAAGCTTTGTGCTAGACCTTAAAGTGTGAGGATAACCAAGACTCATGCTTGCTTCAAGGAGCTGTATATAAGCTCAGTGCAGCAGAATTGCCCTTGGGGCCCTTTTCCCCTCCAAGAAGAGACAAC